CCCTGCGGACCCGGGCGCGGCGGCGGTGTGCGGGGACGCGCCCCGTGCGGAGCTCCGGCCCCGCGGCCAGCGCGCAGATCTGCCGGCGCTGCTCCCGGAGCTCGCTGCGCAGCTCGCCGACGGTGGCCCGCAGGGCGTCCAGCTGCGCGGCGCAGCGCGCCTCCACCTGCGCGGCCAGCGCCGCCGCCTCGACCTGGGCCTGGCGGGCCCTCTGCGCCTGGGCGCGGGCGACGCCGACGCCACCCCGACTCCAGACACCCGCCGTGCATGGGCCATGTCGCAAGTGGGGCGGAGATATCCGCGCCGCTTCTCGACCTCCTCTGACGCCTGTTTCCGCCCTCCTTTGCCGTCGCCGGTGCCGCCATATACGTCTGCGGAGATGTCCGCCCGACTCTTCCGAGGCGGAAGTGTCCGCCCTACTGTTGTCGCATCGTTCGGGGTGCACTTCGGACACACGCTGAAACTTCTCCTGCTGAGTCTCGGCCTCTGGGGGCCCTCGCCGGGCACCCGGGGCGGGCCCGGGAGCGTCAAAAGCGAGCGCTCGGGATGCAGAGCCGGCCCCGGGGAGGGGGAGCTCCAGGCCTCGGGGGGGCCCCGCAGCGGCAGAGCTCCAGGCCTCGGACGCCTGGGCCTGGCCACCTCACTGGTCCCGGCGGGGCCCCGGGATCGGCCCGGCCAGGGCCTGGTGGCGGGTGGCGGTCGGCGGGCGCCGCGCGATTTGAGGGAGGGCCGCGGCCTCCCACTCCGCGCGCTGCACCTCCAGCTCCTGCCGGCGGCGCTCGCACAACACTGCCCGCACACCTTCCACAACACGGGGGCAGAACAGTCGAGATCGAGATGCTCCTGGAGGATCGTCGAGGAGCTCATCGAGGAAGCCCTCCATGGAAGGGGCCCTGGGAGCCCCCGACCCCTCCCGAGAGGCCCCCCGTGCCTTCTCGCTATAGGCCGCCCTCCTCGCCCCGTGCCCCTGTTCTTGCACGCCGCCAGATCCTGGTGCAGGCTCCTCAAGATGCGGCCCTGCAGCCCGGCGACGGCCTCGTCGATGAATGGCATCAAGGACTCTTTCGCCTTCTCCACGACGCTGCTCTCCAGCGCCCCCGCCTTCATCTGCATGGCCTCCCCTCCCCTCCCCTCCTCCCCCGTTCTCCCCCCACACCCCCTCTCCCAAGCCCCCCGCTCATTATCTGCCCTTGCACTTATCCTCCTGCTCAAACCTCTTCTTATTGGTATTATTGTTGTTATCGTTTCTCTCATGTTATGATGACTATTCCGCTGCTGCTGCTGCTCCTCCTCCACCTCCTCCTCCTCCTCCTCCTCCTCCTCCCCCTCCTCCTCCTCCTCCTCCTCCTCCTCCTCCTCCTCCTCCTCCTCCTCCTCCTCCTCCATCCCTTCTCCTTATAGAAAGCTCCTCCCTGTCGCATCCCGAGGCCAATCGTCGAAAGGACGGGCTGGGCGTTTCGCCTGAGATTTCCTCACAACTTATGATCCTGAAGCTTGAAATTTGCAGCAGCTTCACGGATGGAGGGTGGTCCGTATTCGAAATGTGGCTCTCGCCTAAGCGCCGCGCGCACTCCTTTATAAACATTGCCAGAGTTTCACGGATGGAGGGAGGTCCGTTTTCAAAATGTGGCTCGCGCCTGAGCGCCGCGCACATTCGTTCCCAAAGTTTGCGAGAGCTTCACGGATGAAGGGCGGCTCCTTTCCAAAATGTGGCTCTCGCCTTAGCACCACGCACATTCGTCTTCAGATCGTGCAGCAGCTTCAAGGATTATCATGAATAACGTCACAGAAAATTGCGTGTTGGCACGATGTCGGAATGTCAGTGCGTAACAGTCACGTTGATTCGCGGTGTTGAAGCCCCCAGAATGCGTTCTGGCGCGATTCAGGATGGTCACGACGCAACAATAACGGTGATTCGCGGTGCTGAAGTCCCAGAAACGGCGTTCTGGCACAATTCCGGATTTTCCCACAGTTGTCTTCCAACGGGGCATGTCCCTCAGTGTAAATGAATCCTTGGGGGAGTACATGAAGAGGGAGCTTAGAGGGAGGGTGCATTGCAATACCACTGTTGGGTCTTGAGTTTACACAGGTTCTCCTCCTCCTCCTCCTCCTCTTCCTCCTCCTACTTCTCCCCTCCTACTCTTCCTTCTCATCCCGCTCGTAGTCGCCATCGCTCCCCAACTGCCATCCCAACGAGTCAGCGTAGGGTGAGGGGGCCGAATCAGAACCGCCTTGAACTCTTCTTGGGTGCGCTGCTGAGTGTGTTTCCACGATGTAGATGATCGATCTCTCATCTCTGAAGAACCCTGATTGACGGTCCCGCCGAGCGTCCCCAAGAAACAGAAGGAGGAAGGCGGAGGAAGGAAAAAGAAGCGGATGGGAGGAGAAAAGAGAGGGAGAAGAGAAGAGAGGAGGAGGAGGAGGAGGAGAGGAGGAGGAGGAGGAGGAGGCCGCGGACGGATGCGGAGAGGAGGAGGAGGCGGAGGAGCAGGAAGAGGAGGAGAAGGAGGAGGGGAGGAAGAAGGAGGGAGGGGAGGAAGGAGGAGGAGAGGAGGAATCAGGAGGAGTGGAGGAGGGGAGGGAGGATGAGAGGAAGAGGAGGAGGAGGGGAGGAGGAGGAGGAGGAGGAGAGCGTTAGAAGCGGTGAGGAAGGTAGAGGAGGAGGGGGGGGAGGAGCGCGCTCACCAGGAGAGAGGACGGAGAGGACAATAGCCGCGGACGAAACGAGAAGAAAGGTCAGGCAACAGGAGGGCCCAAGATACACGCCGTGCCCGGACAGGCGCGCAAGAGGAGGAGGAGGAGGAGGAGGAGGTGGAGGAGGAGGAGGAGGAGATCTCCCTCCTCGATCCTCCCCATGGCTCTGCCTTCTCCACCTCGCCGCCGACCTGCTGGAGGCACTTCCTGCTCCAGTACTCGCGTTCGCTCTGCAGGACCCTTGCGACATCCTCGGTCCCAGATGTCCGGCCTTGCGCCAGCGAGGACGACGACGACGACATTGACGGCGACGACTACGTGGAATGACGACGACGACGACCAGGAGAAGAAGGAAGGAGGAGGACGAATACAAAGATGACGACGACAACAACGACAACGACGACGACGACAACGACGACGACGAACGACGACGGCGGCGGCGACGACATTGACAAGGACGACGACTGCGAGGGCGAGGGCAATGACGAGGACGAGGACTAGGAAGGCAACGACGACGACGACAACGATGGCGACAACGACGACGACGATGACGACGGCGACGACGACGGCGACCATAACGACGACGACGAGAACCACGACGACGACGGCGACGGTCGTGGCGGCGATGACGACGACGACGACGACGACGACGACGACGACGACGACGACGACGACGACGACGACGACGACGACGACGACGGCGGCGGCGGCGGCGGCGGCGGCGGCGGCGGCGGCGACGGCGGCGGCGGCGGCGGCGACGGACGACGAACGTCGAGGGACGCCGAATGACGAAAGACGAACAACGACGACGACGACGACGACGACGACGACGACGACGACGATTGCGAGGGCGAGGGCGACGACGGCGAGGTCGAGAACGACGTCGGCGAAGACGACGAGAGTTAGGGCGAGGAGGACGACGACGGTGAGGACGAGGGCGAAGACACCCTGGAGGAAGAGCACACAGGTGGCGGAAGCAGCTAAGCAACATTGCTGCGCGGGTTTGAAGACGCCCCCCCTCCCCCCGCCCCGAGGACAACGCTGGGCGCGCGACGTGACGAAGTTTACCCATCGGCGGTCCGAGATGCGCGTGCCACCATAGAAATCTCGGGGGCAGCGGGGGGGGGGGGTAATGGTTGCGGATGCCATGACACTGGGCACCCTACGTACGTAACAATCCTATCATTGAATGAAACATGCATTCAAAAGGTAGAAGCATGCTTTAATGTTTAAGCACTTACATATGTAAGACATGTTTAAAACATCTGTTAGACATCTGTAAATTATGTTACCACATGCTTCCTCTCCATGGATCGTCGTCTACAAGATAATGGGGGAAGTCCACGCTGCTTGACTGCTTCAGTCTGCCCCAAGACGATGACGGGGCAATCCCGCGAAGGAAACGGGCCCTGGCAGAGACGGGTCCCTGGAACCAGGGGGCTTTCCCCTGGGACAGGTCTTCATCCAGGACTGCTTTTTGACGGTCCCGGAGCCTGGGAGCGGCCCCCGGAGACCACCTCCAGGACGCACTTCCTCAGGACCCGTTTGCTTCATTTCATGGCGAAGGAAGATAAACGATCCTCAGGACGTGTGTCTTACGCCAGCGTGCGCTGGTTCACCGAATCTCCTCAACGGTTCAACGTGACGCATGCACCGCAATGATGGCCGAAACGACTGCGTGCGGCTGAAGTGGGTAAACCCACACACAGAACTACACTAGACAACACACGCTCAGTGGGCTAACACGTGTCCTGAGGATCATGGAGGGAAGGAGGAGAGGAGGAGGAGGAGGAGGAGGAGGAGGAGGAGGAGGAGGAGGAGGGAGGAAGAGGGAGGAGGGGGAGGAGGAGGAGGAGGAGGAGGAGGAGGAGGAGGAGGAGGAGGAGGAGGAGAAGGAGGAGGGGGAGAAGGAGAGGAGGAGGGGGAGAAGGAGAGGAGGATGGGAGGGAGGAGGGAGGTATGGAAGAAGATCTGGAGGGAGAAGGGAAGAGGAGGAAGCTGGAGGAGGGAGGGCGGGGGGGGGGAGGGGGGGGGGAAAAAAGAGCGAGGAGAAGGAGGGAAATATCCTCGCATGGACGCGGACAGCGAATCCACCCGGAAGGTCTTGTCCAACTCGGGGGCGTCCGCCGTGGAGGCCGAGACGCTGGAGGCCCGCGGGCTCCAGGCCGACATCGCCCCGCGAGCTCTGCTGTGGCCAGGCGAGGCCCGCGAGAGAGTCGGCGGCGAGCGTTGGGGGGGGGGAAGCGAGTGACTACAGTAGGGGCCCGACCACAAGAAACCGTCCACGAGAAACCCAACCCTGAGACCCCAAGACGCCCATTGGTTTTTGGTGCCGGAACGTCACGATTTCCACAGCAAAACCATCGAAACCCAAGACACTCAGGGCACCCTGGAGGCAAGCAGGGTATTTCTTGGCATGGGCCCCCGCTGTACCCACCAGACCACCCCAACCGAACCCGAAGACCCGACTGTCGGGTCGGGGGGGGGGGTACAGGTTCCGCACGTGTTTTTTTCCCGACCCGCCCCTCCACACACACACACACACACACACACACACACACACGCACACACACACACACACACACACACACACACACACACACACACACACACACACACACACACACACACACACACACACACACTGCAGATCGGGGCCTTCGGGTTGGGCTGGGGTGGTTTGGTGGGCGGTGAGTGCGAAGGAGAAGGCCTTCTCGGAGGGCGGCGGGCCTCTCGTGAGGCCTGAAGCCCTCTGAAAGGTCTTCTGTGTCTTCGGGGGCGGCCCAGCAAGCTTCCGAGAAGGCCGGGGGACTTCCGAGCCTCCCGAGAAGGCCCCCCCCCTTCGCACTTCCCCCCCTGGGCGCGCCGCCGAGAGAAGGGAAGGGGAAGCCCTGACTCGGCCGACTGGGACCCCGAGATCCGGGCGTTGGCCCTGGTCGTGACTTGATTGCGATGCTGTGGTTGCTTCGAGACGCCGGATCTCAGGGCCGGAGGAGGCGATCCCAGTATAAGGATGCCGGGAGCACGCGCGGCTGGACCACGAGGGCCACGCGATGGCTGTACGTGCTGAGCGCCAGCTCGCCTGGCCACCACGAGGGCGGAGCGCTGGAGAAACGTACAGCCGCACGCGTATCCGGCTCTCGCCCAGAGCGGCCAGGTCATGTGCACAGCTGGAGCGAGGACAGGAGACCATTCCCGAAGAACATGAGCCCCTCCGAGGGCCGAGATACCCCAAACCGCGAGATCAGCGAGGGGGCACCTTCCGAGGTGTCACCCGACCTTGCCGAAGTGCCTTGCGCCGTGTGATCTCACGTGGCAGGTCGCCCATCTTCCCGCGCAGCGCGCGCGCAATGTGCGTGAAGCGCGTCTGAATTCGCGCCCTCGCGCCTCCCTTCGCGCCCCTAGGTCCCCACTCTGGTTGTTCAGTACGCGTGGGGCGGGGGCATCGTGTGTGTGGGGGGGGAGAGAGAATGGGCCGCCCCTCGCGCGGAGCGTGGCGGGGGGGGGGCTGCATCGCGTTATGGGGTGGTGGGTTCGGCGCGAGTGGATGGGGGGGCGGAGGGGGCAGAACAGGCTCTCGGACGTGGTGACGTCGAGGAGAGGAGGGAGCAACTCAGAGTGGCCAAGCCGACGAGGAGGGCATCCGAGTGCTGTTTGGGGCCTCCCTCGGGAGGGCAGACGCCCAGCCAAATCCATGCGGCCCGACCAATGTTGGTCTGGTCAGGGCCTCCACTCCCTGGCGAGAGGCGCTGTTGCGGCCGTCCCCGCTTGAGCAAACGGCGTCTAGCACGCAGCTGCCGCCCTCTTGCGCTCCACTTCCATGCCCCATGTCACTGCTTCCCCCAAGCATCCCTCCGTTCACCCGCCCTCAACCACCGTCTCCTTCCTGCTCCTGCGCCTCTCCTCCTCCTCCTCCTCCTCCTCCTCCTCCTCCCTCCTCCTCCCTCCTCCTCCTCCGTCATCCTCCTTTTCCTCCTTCCTCTCCTCCCCCTCCCTCCCCCCTCCTCCCCCTCCTCCACCTCCACCTCCTCCTCCTCCGTCCTCCTCCTCCTCCTCCTCCTCCTCCCTCCTCCTCCTCCTCCTCCTCCTCCGCCTCCTTGTCCTCCTCCGCCCTCGTCCTCGTCCTTTCATTCCTCGTCTCTCCTCCTCCTTCCTCCTCTCCTCTCTCTCCTCCTCTCATCCTCCTCCTTCTCCTCCTCTCCTCCTCCCCCTCCTCCCCCTCCCTCAACCTCCTCCCCCTCCTTCCCCCTCCTCCCCCTCCTCCCCCTCCTCCCCTCCCCTCCTCCCCCTCTCCCCCTCCTCCCCCCTCCTCCTCCTCCACCTCCCCTGCCTCTTTTGCCTCCCTCCCTACTCCTCCCTTTCCTCCTCCTCCTCCTCCCCCTCCCCCTCCCCCATCCCCTTATTCCCCTTATCCCCCATCCCGCTATCCCCCTGTGCCCCTACCCCCTATCCCCCTTAATCCCCCTTATCCCCCTATCCCCCCATCCCCCTCCTCCCCTCCCCCCCTCCCCCTCCGCCTCCGCCTCCGCCTCCGCCTCCTCCTCCTCCCCCTCCTCCTCCTGCCCTTTGACCTGGACTGAATGGGGCCATGGGACACACAAACAAATACACACAACTATAACAGCATCCCCCACAGTTTCCCATGTTTTCTGGGTTCCTGTTTTCCTCCTCCACTACCCATCTTTTCCCACATTCTCTGGGGAATCGACGATTCATTGTGTCTGTGTTTTCCCCCCTCCTGACAGACCTACGGAGCGGCCCGACACCCACAGCCCCTCCTGGACGAAGTCCTCACGTCGGCGCTTTGGCTGTAACGTTACGGTCGGGCGTGGCCATGGCGACGCGTCGAGCAGCGTGTCGCGGCGGCGGCCCCGGCGACGAGCTGTGCAAGCGGATGACGTGTCGCCCCGCTCCGTGGGGCGGGAGGCTGGGACGCGCTCGGGGCGTTGACGCCTGGGTACTGGGGACGTGCTGAGCGTGTCGTGCCGAGGCGTGGTGGGCAAGAGCCGGCGGCGCGGTACGCTAAGCAAAAGTCCACGATCGTATGCGGTCACTCCTGCACTTGCTTGGTCCGCTTCAGCTGGGGGGAGTCGGTGTTCCGGGCGTGCTCGCGTACATGTCGTTCACCGACGGACATGTACTTGGCTGTAACGTCATGCGTTCGCCGGCGTTGAGCGTTCACGTAATGTAGCGTTCGCCGACGTACATGTAGCGTTCGCTGGCGTTGAGCGTTGAGCGTTCGCCGACGTACATGTACTTGGCTGTATACGTTGTGCACCAGCGTTCAGCGTATTGGCTGCAACGTCATGCGGTCGCACTATCCCAAACGTCGGCGCGCACTCCCACAATCACTCAG